CACATTTAACTAGCAGACATGCAAAGTTGCAAACAGTGCAAAGCAGGCACAAGACTAAGGAAACAGCGAATTTGTTTTTGAAAAAAGTATGATTAACTTTGGATTTAGTAATGTAAGTTCATAACTTCATATATAACTTAAAAGTTCGAACTTTGCAGTTCAATTCAGAACGTCAGAGTCTTCAGACTGTCAGCACTGTCAGTGCTCTCTCTCTCTCTCTCTCTCTCTCCCCCCAACGGGCAGCAGCGGGGGGCGCCACGTCGAAACGGCCGCTTTGAAATTGCTCATGCCTGTGCGAAACCCGCCACCTCAAAAACCTGCAGTGTCTTGTGTCTGGACCTCTAGGCCATGTCCGGTGGGGTGAAAGGACACTTAAAAATCACCCCGTTATTTTTCGAGGGGSGGCTAGGACYCGACAAACGTCCTGGGCCGCCCCATTTTTTTTTTTTGATTTTTGCCCCAGGGGCCTCCATCCGGACATTAGGACCGGACACCAGACACCGTCCGCCGGCCACCGGACTGTCTGGAATCCGGTCCGGACGTCCGGGCGGTTACCATGCAAACAAGGCCTTGAAAAGCAGCATCTAATGATAACAAAATGATGATGATGATGATGATGATAGTAATGATGAAAATGAAGACAGAATGATGCTGCTGATCATACTGAAGAACAGTACCAACAGCGCCCTATGATTACAAATTGATGATGATGATGATGATAATGAGGATAATGATGGTGATAATGATAATGATGTCGATGTCGATGATGATGATGATGATGATGATGATGATGATGACGCACAGCGCCTTGTGATGACAAAAGGATGATGATGGTGCTAATGACGAGCACCTTGGATGATAACCTAATGATGATGATGGTGAGCAGCGCCCTATGACGACGAGCTTCGCCAACAGCGCCTTATGATGGTGAACTATTGATGATGGTAATGATACTGGGGTAATGACAACGACGATGATGATAACGAGCAACCCCAGCGGCGCCCTATGAACACACAATGATGATGATGATCATCATGACGAGCAGCGTCGATAATGACGCCACCCATGCCTTGATGTTGATGACGAGCGGCACCCTGATGATGATGATAGTGATGACACATGATGCTGAACCATTACCGTGATGATGATGTCGAACCACGCCCTGTTGATGATGATGGTGATGATGATGATGATGATGACGAGCAGCACCCTGATGATGATGACGAACCCTGACTGTGATGATGGTGTCAAACTGCGCCCTGTTGATGATGGTGCTGGTGATGATCAGTGCCCCTTTGCTGATGCCGAGCAGCGCCCTGATTATGCTGACACAGCCACTTCCTCATGATTGCAGTCGCCACTGCACTTGCACTTCAATTTACCAAGGGCTGACTCCACTGTACTCCACAGGCGTCAACATAGCCAACGCCTCCCAGACAATATGCCACGTGCAAAACCGCAGCAGCAATGGAATGAAACGTGGAACTCCCAGAAGAAAAAAGCCAACAGGAGTCTGTCCATCCGCCACATCAGCCTGTGACGTGGTGTGGACAAGCACCTCCGGTCACCTGCACGTGCACAAAGCGCCTGGTTGAGAGAAGAGATGGCCACTGTCGCCGCCGCGCGCCTTCACCATGGCCCACCTGTGCGATGTCCCATCCCAGGGCGGGGCGGGGCGCGGCGCTCCCGGTAGCGCCACGCCCCTACGGCCCTGATGCCACCTAATGATTGGCTTGCTGCTTGGTGCCAGTTGATAAAGAGATATACTTGTCCAGAAAAAGCACCGGAGAAGACCAAGACTGCGATAGCAAAGTCCAAAAATAGTCTCCCTGCCGTATGTCCAATCACTGTCTGCCACAAAATATCGAATCAGATCCTGGGCATCATGGGCCGATGTAACCTCTGCCGGTAACCTCTCTCTCTCTCTCTCTCTCTCTGGGCATCATGGGCCGATGTAACCTCTGCCGGTAACCTCTCTCTCTCTCTCTCTCTCTCTCTCTCTCTCTCTCTCTCTCTCTCTCTCTCTCTGTGGAAGAAGAAGAAGAAGAAGAAGGAGAAGAAGGAAGGAGGAAGAAAAGATGGAGGGCGAGACTAAGAATAAGAGGAAGATCATAGTTCACTGCCTAATACATTGTAGGGAGGCGACAGACTACTGGGCAAGAGCCTCGGCACTCTGGGACTCCCTATTCCCAACCCCCTTCCCCGAACATCTCATCTAACTTCTCCTCTTGACCTGCTCCAAAAGGCAGAAAAGATCTGGTTTGGACTCATCAGAAAGGTAACATTATGGGTCATATGGAAGGAAAGATGCAGCAGAACGATTGAAGGACTGTCCAACCCACGCGAGAAAGTTTGGGTGGAGACGAAAATGATGATACAAGCCGAAATCCTCTGCAGATGGAGGAAGACCAGACAGTCATGTATGGAGGACGAGGAACAATGTTACATACTTCGATGAGTATGGGCAGAACCAAAGATCAACCAATGTAGGATGAGCATATATGCAGCGGAAGTCTGATAAACGGACTGACTCTCATAGACTGACTCACACAGACTGACTCAAGAATCACTCCACATACATACACAGATGAGAGGTGGGAGGAGAGACGAAGGAGGTGGGGGAGGTAGACAGCACCGAAGGTCACCGAGATAGAGTCTGATAGGTCACCGATATGGTAGTCCAAAAGTGTCATCCAACAAGATCAAAATGTCGAGGACAATAGGTCACCAATGTCGGAGGTACAAAGTCCAAATGTAACCGGTGTCCGAACTGTGATGCAGCTGAGTATCAACCCCAACAATCTCCAAGTCTCCAATCCGGTAAGTACCACAGTCTCATACCACCGAAGTCCAATACTGATCTCTGTCCAACTAGTATAAGTCTCCAATCTGAAGAAGAAGAAGAAGAAGAAGAAGAAGAAGTCTGAAGAGAGAGAGAGAGAGAGAGAGAGAGAGAGAGAGA